ACTGTGCATTATTCTTTCGCAGTTTGTAATTCGTTAAGAATGGGTTTATATTTATGCCGAGTGTTATATTTCCTCGACGAAAACAAACGTTTTTTGCTTTTTATAACAATCTGTTCCGAAACAGCTTTTTGTCACTCCTGGCCACTCGTCGTCACTCAATCGAGGTCACTCCTGGTCAATCGTGTGTAGTTTTAGTCAAGATCGAGCTTACTAACTGATTATAGTCGTTGTACCCAATTGAGCACTCGATATTGTCCAGCAAAAGTTACAACGAAAAACAAATAAATTTTCAGTCAATTAATTAAAAAAACCTCCTACTTTACTTCAAAAAAAGCATGCACTATTTATACTAGCTCAACCTTTCAGTCACTGATGCTGTCTACCTATAAGCATTTATTAAAGTATATCAAGTCTATGGTATAGTATATGAAGTATATGAAGTATAAAGTATATGAAGTATATGGCCTCTTCCCTTCTGGTGCGCAATAGGTGTCGTCTCTTTTCCTTATCAGTGGCATGCAAATCAGACTTCTTCGCTTCAGTTATCTTGCTTCATCTCTTGGAACCTTTGCTTTTTCTTCAAGTGATCCCATGATACCTTCAACTTGTTGTAGTAAACAGACCTAGAAATACAAGGCATGTTAAAAATGCTGCAACAAGACGCCAGACCTTCGTAATCACTGCCAGTGAGTCTCCACTGAGTGATAAACAGCACAGCGATGTATATTGTGACCTTCCCTGAGTAGCAGCATTGACCAATGTGGTGAAACTGCTTGACTCATTACATGAATCACATCCCAACGCAAACTCTGACATGTGACCAGAACGTTTGTCAGGGACGTCTTCAAGAGTCATATTTCCTTAATTCTGACAGGGTCATAGAACTGAGTATCATCTCAGGAATATATTAAATTATTAACACAATCTACAAATAATTAAAATTAATACAAAGGATAAATATAATGCATATATACTTTTGTTTGAATACAACTTATCAATTAAACCTATATTAAAAGATAAGTGGATTGAAAACCTAAAAAAACTTTTGAAGGGAATTTTACCTTTGAACAGCACAAATCACTTGACAAATGTGTTGCATACTTGACACAGCTGTGGCCTGTGGACAAACAGTTCAGGCTAAATTGCTAATAACCCAGAATTCTTGACAGTTTTAAGGATTCTCAATCGTAAACTCGGACTCTGCATTCTTACTGTCACCTCGCACTTTCTTCGTTGAGGTTCCAACGATATTTTGACCATCAACTTCGCCTGTTTGAGATGTCTGATACGTCACTACGTGATGAATTTAAAGCCTTTTCTTTCTTGTATCTTTGACGCCCCGAAACAGTCCCTTTCCTCTTTCTTTTATATAAAGATCTGGAGCTTTGTCCAACCATTTGTTTATGTTAAAAAGCAAAGATTAAAGAGCGAAGAATTTGATTTCTTTTCACGTTCGAAAATAGCATTTCCGTTGAAAATTTTGATCACAATTTTGGCATGGCAATGAGCGCCAGCAATCACCAAATTATAACAGCACCAATACTTTATGTAGTACACAACAAAGGGTACTATGTAAATCACTTGCTTTCGAAACGCTGGCAAGCGGACTAATCAAGTTAAAGTGGCAAACAAACAAAAAATGCCATATTGGTTGCCATGGAAACGGGTAACAAAAATAAGATAATGCATATTAAAACCCTCAAAAGTAGGGGAAGGATTTTGATTTTTTAAAAACGGTTTGGGCACATGTTAGCTAAGGTCCCAAAGTCATTAAATATGTAAAAAAGAAATTTTGATTTTTTTTGAAGATTTAAGGTTAACTCCCCCCTTAACTGATAAACGTGATAAAATTAATAATTAACAATTATTAACCTCATTGTCGGTGAATAGTGCAAGGAAATTTACACCACAACAATTTTATACCACAACAAAACAAAAATGACCAAAAAACAACGAAAATATTTTAAATTTAAAATAATTTGTATTTCTGCAGCTCCCGTAATAGTTGTAAACAAAACAATATTTACACGCTTTTAGTAATTTTATTCATTTGAAATGGCTTTAAAAAATACCTCTATACACACTGTTAAAACGTTTTAATTGTTTACTTATATTGTTTACTTTGTTTCAGACAGCCATGTTCTTCGGCAGAAATGTTCACTCTTTCACAACCTCCGTCAAGTATTACCTCTCCTGCCCCCACCCAACAAAATTTCCTGGAAGCATTAAACCATTTGCATGAACAATGTCAAGAAACACCAAATTGTTCAACTATCAATACTGCAGATATCTCATCAAATGTCCCAATATCCACTGCCCAGTCATTCAATATCCCTCAAACACAGTTTACTGCAGGCTATGATAATCTCGACGTACAGGAAGCTGTATCACTTCTTGCCATGTTAAGAAACTCTGGAATGTCATAGCAATAGTATATTGTCAATATTGGTCGTGACCGGATTTTCAAAAGTTGAGTGAAGAATGCGTGTCTGGGCAATTATGTCTCTGATTGAACAAATGCATGTGCATGGGATAATTTTCTTTCACAAAATTTCATGTTTAGCTTTGTTGCCTTCAGTTTCTTGACGGCTTTGAAGAAAATGTTTAAAAAATGACAATTAGCTATGTTATTAATAAAAAGGGTTCCCCGATCATTGTTCTGTTTTTGATTTATTGGTGGAATAGAAGATGCTTAACAGATGAAAAGCTTACGATTTTTGGAAAATTCTGGTACACGCATAAATTATACGAAAACTTTGTCAAAATACGAGAAACCTCATTCAATTTGTGTTCGTTCCATTGCAGTGCAAATCTTGTAAATTGTCAATTGTTTAAATAATTTAAAACTTCTATTGATCAAGATAAATTTGTGGAAACAATTTCATGTTTATTTTGAAATTTATAACCCTGAAATAGCTATATTAAGTCTTTCGAGTGGTCTATACGGCGGCGGCGGCGGCCATGTATTCACAAAATATTCAAATGTGTTCATGGATGTTGCAGTTGAACGTTATGTTATGTTATTTGCCATGTGAGGTAATTGTTTTATATTTGTCTATGTTATAAGTATTTGGTTTTAATACATTTCCTAAGGGTCTGTTCATGTGAGCACTGAGCTCCCGTACCAAGCCTATGATCGCCTATGGAGGAGACTATTTATCCAAATCAAAACATTTTTTGTCCAATATTCTCCACAAATGGTAAAGATTCCATATGGGTAATAAAAAAAGGTCAGGTGCACTTTAAGCAAACCAATCACAAAACGTGTTTGTTTTAGATTGGTATTTATATGGGTCATATTTATCAACATTCTCAAAAGCGTACAGAGAATGCTCTTTTTTACCCCCCCCCCTCTCGGAGCGCACTTTTTAAGTGTTAAATCTCAGGGATGATGATGGTATTAATGGATGGTATTAATTTTTGAAACGTAACATTACAGTCGTGCCAATAGAAGCGTTCCTAAAAATGTTGATCAATTCATTTCCTAACTTGAAGGAACACCTTAGTTCCTTAAAAAGTTCCTTACTTCCTGTTTCATTGACCAATCAGATTGCTCAAAAATAAAATATAAAATTTGATTGGTCAATGAAACAGGAAGTAAGGAACTCTTTATAGACTTTAAGGAACTTAAAGGTGTTCAGAGGTGTTCCTTCAAGTTAGGAAATGAATTGGTCAACATTTTTCGGAACGCTTCTATTGGCACGACTGTAATTGTATTTATTTTTACTCGAGGGCGTATCACTTCAGTCGCCTCATCTTTATTGGGTATTACAAGCGTCAAGAGGATGACTTTAGCTGAGTACATGTAAGTGTAATTATAGTGATGAGGGAGGCTCCTTTGCATGAATGAACGAGACCAGTAGTAACATGTATAATATAGCATTTGTAAATTCTGAACGCTGATTGGCTAAGAGCCGTGTTGATATAATTCAATATCAACACGGAAAATTTCTTTCTTTATATTTTTTTGTGCTATATTATAAAAAAATATAAAACATTTTTTCCGTATTGATATACAGTTATATCAACACTCGCGGAAATTGGGAAAACTCGAAATTTGGGAAAACTCGAAATTTGGGAAAACTCGAAATTGTGTGAAAACCCCTCCGGGCGTCGTGTTTCCACACAATTTCTCGTTTTCCCAATTTCCACTCGTGTTGATATAACTGTGTATCAACCTATATCTTCTTATAGTTACATACACTAGATGGTGCTTTTAATTATTCTGCAATTCAAAAATTGAAGCCGTGATTGCAGTCTCAGGATATTCCCATGAAATGAGAAGATTCGTACGTTTTCTATTTCTTAAACAGGGAACTTTAAATAAACATTAAGTTAAACCTATTCCAAATACATTTTTAAACTATTCAAGTGATGAAAGTTATTGTTGTTTTCTAAGCGTTTATTAGCGAGTGGGAAAATGGGGGTAACCGCTGGAATACGTAGTGTCCCAAAAAAAATGCTCCCTATCATATTTTGTAGTACTACATCGTTACCTGTAATCGAATATTCAAATTTTTTCATTTTTTTATCAATGAACATATTACGTTAATCGTTGCATTTTTTCGCACCAAAATATTTAACCGTTCGTCTTCTAGAGTTCTTCCCCTCGTGGCGACACCAATATTGCCACTTGTCCAAATTGAGGATATTAGGGTTATAAACATATTACGGAACGTCATAAAATGTTCTAATGGTAAATGGCTACATATCTTTTCTAAAACTTGTAATTAGTTGTAGCCAAAATCGCAAATTAATTTTCTGCAAAAATAATGAAGCAATCCCCAGAAAAGGGGAAAGACTAGTGCCGAAATCTCAACATTTGCTCTTTCATGGAACAAATTGAACGGAAAACAGCAAATTTAAGGCATTTTCCCAACCTTAGCTTTGCCTTTGTCAATTTGCCACGGATTTTTCATCTTTTTTCATTAATTTCTACAAGAAACAAAAGTTTAATAATAGGGATAAAAACATTTTGTTTTTGAGCAAAAAGGTGGGTAGAAACTTTAGAAATCCTTCTGCAAAGTTTGCATTATTTTTAACCTAATTTCTATAATTTGGACGGGTTGCAAAATTGATGTCGCCACCTTAAGTATCTCTAGAAGCCGAACGGTTAAGTATTTTGGTGAGATAAATACTACGATTAATATAATATGATTGTTTTTCAACCCACTGAAAAAAATTTGAACCTTTGATTAAATATAGCGAAGTAATACCACCAAATATGACAGGGGGCATTTTTTTTGGGACACCCTGTATTCTTGGTTTCAATTTTACTAAAAGAGATGCGCTATCTAGTGTATATAAGATATCTATGCATGGTATACCAACACGGAAAATATTTTATATTTGTTAAGTATAACATTCATGTAGCGAGCAATATACGTATAATTCTTAAGTACTTATAGCTTGTGAACGTTTTAAGGACCGTCTTAAAAATTGTCTGAGTATGGAAATTGAGCAGAATGATTAAATATTAAAATTGTGATGTGTTTACATAAAACGAAGGTGAAACATAAAAACACAGAAGTTTAAGAATTTTATATCATGATTGTCACCGAATTTGACAACCAGGGCCGCGTCGTGGCTCGAGTCATACATGGCCTGTACATGTGCTGATTGAGTAACACATGGTTATTATACCTCTCGAGCACTCCAACCAAATGAGCACTATACAGAGTCTCACGCCCGTATTCCAAAAGCTCACTCACACTCAATGAGTGGAGGTTCAATCTATAAAGCTTCTCTTGTCTGAGTGTCAATGCTGTTTTTGAATATCTGGAGGGTGAGTTGTCACATAGTAAGGTACGACACTAACCCTCCAGCTATTCAAAAACAGCAAGACACTCGAGAGAAGCTCAGATTGAACTTCCACTCATTGAGTGTGAGTGAGCTTTTAGAATACGGGCGTCACGGTCTAAGAGTGTTGCAGCCAGAGGGCCTATACTGTATATATGGTTGCATTTTTCGCAGCTACTCCTGCATGGTTATAGGTCCAAATAAATGTATTACATTTACACTTATTTTCATCTATAAAATTCTTCAAATTAGTTCAATTGAGGGGGTGCCCAAAATAATCCTGATATTGAACATGTAGATATTTCTTCAGCCGTATATATGTCCAAATAGATCTAGACAGTTCCGCTTTCTTTATTCGAGGGAAACTTCACTCCTAAAAATCCGGAAAAAATCCGGTACAATTTGGAAAATCCTTCAAAATCCAAATTTATAAATCTGTTCAAATCCTAAAATTCGGGGAGAAATTTAAAAAAAAAAAGAAAAAGTCAAACAAAATTTCTTTTGAAAGCTCCACGGATTTTTGAAACGCTACTTTGGAGTGAAATGCCCGACTTCGGTCCCAGTGTCCTTCTTAGACCTAAGAAAGACCCTGGGAACGAGGTTGTGAAATGCCCCTCGGTCATGTCAGCCCTTATGCAGTATGTTCTGCATGTAAATTGGTGACGGTGCACGACTGCAACTTTGACAAGGCCTTTGCATGCATGTTTGTATGAAATTTATGACGACCATGCAATATAGATATATCAGTTATATAGGATTAATTTTATGCCAGTAACACACAAACGTTTTCACATCCCAGTTTACATATTGAGAAATCAATGATGTTTAACAAACAACTCTCAAGAGGCAATGTCAATATTCAAATTCTATGACAAACACGTTAACGTATATTGAGATTTCAGTTCTTTTTGTCAAAGCCGCCATTTTGGCATCCCATTCACAATTTTCCAAGTTGATATCTATTCAAAAATGGCTACTTTATGTTATTTTAATACTATAGATTACTGATAAAGGATACTAAACGCTACACAAGGGTTCCATAATGACTTGATATTGGTATTCATTGGCATATAGCGGTCTCTCTGAAGTGGACGTTTTGTTATGACATCATATTTTGAGTACAACTAGCGTCGTTAATGAGGGCTTAATGAGTTTGTCGATGCTTTGAAAATTTGACTATTTTGACACTTAATAGGACTATGGGTTCATAGCAGAATAACTACACGAACAACCAACTGTCAGCCATTGGAAAGTGTGCAAACGAGATAATACAAAACATGGCTTTATAAATCAAAGACACAGCTTAGAAACAAAATTAAAAAGATTCCTCAGTGTGTTATATATAATTGTGATGGCTTGGATTTGTTGATTCGCTAGTTCATGTATGCGTGGGTAAATTGCTTGTATTAAACGATGGATGGTGTCTGTATTTGAGAGGATTTAATCCGACCTAGTTATAGGAGAACAGTATCGCTTGTTCCGCTGCTAGCGAAGACACACAGTTTTATAGAGTTTCAAGGTTAGTGTATAAGTTTGTTGCATCGTTTAGACCCCGTTTACACGGTGCCGGACGAATTTTGGACCAGGCTGAAATTCGTCCTTTTTCACCTGTTTACACGCGAATTCGTCCTGTTAGGCCACTTAGCCAGGTGTCTCAAATTCGTCCGGTTCCGTGGTTCTCGAGTAAACGGAAGGCCGAAACGAACGAATTTCAGCCCGGTTCCAAATTCGTCCCGTACCGTGTAATCGCGGGGGTCTTGCTGAATATGAGCGAGCCAGTGTACTCAGTGTATAGTCATTAAATTATGCTCGTTATATTATCACGAAATATTTACCGCATGCCACCATCATTATCTTTCCTATATCATGACTTTGTTCACATGATGGAAATAGTTATTAGCCGTGGCGTGTTTATCTAAGGATGGGACATGTATATGATTATATAGAAACAGGCCAGATGGCATGCCATGCAACCGATTGACAACAAAAGATGAATGGTCCGATAATAAATATATCCAATAAATATATAGTAACTGATTTCATTTTCATGTATTTTGTCATTGGTTTCATGCATGATGTAGATAAAGATTTAAGAAGAAGGATTTATTTAGCATACTTGATCTATTTACAAAAGTATAGGTTATGTTTTACATCTATATTATGGAGCCAGAAAAATGCATGCATATATAAATGGTGTGTAATAATCGGCATGTGCACATGCAGTCACTGGTACCGGACGAATCTGGAACCAGGCTGTCCGTTTCGGCCTTCCGTTTACTTGACACCGGACGAATTCGCATGTAAACAGGCGAAAAAGGACGAATTTCAGCCAGGTCCCAAATTCGTCCGGTACCGTAACGGGGTCTGATTTATATATTATTAAAGTTATTTATCCTTGGCAAAATAATGATACAACATACACATGACTCTCGATAACGATGTTTTCTGTATAGCAGTATGTTGTCGAGCGTGCAAACGACATAAAGAGTTCATCAAATATCCCGCCATATAGGCTACATTGTGCGTTACACTGCTAAATTTTTGAATGGCAAAATGTCTATATATACAATTTTAATTACCTATAACACAGTTCACATAAACGATACAGGAACGAGATCAATATAGGATGGCCCTTACTGGACCTCTATACTGCAGGAACAACAGCTTAAGTCCGTTCAAACGAGGTCAACATGTTGGTCTAACATCTTCCAACATTGTTAAATGCAACGTTGGCCTCGTTTAAACACTGCGTTGTACAGGGTGTCTAAAAAAAACGCTACGGAAATTCAACAGGCTGTCGTGCATCATAAACTTAGCTAAACAATTGAATTTTTACATAGGACGAAAGATCTGTTATTTAGCTTCTCTATGATACCTTTTTTAAATCGTAACGATGAGAAATGGCCACATACTCGTCAAATAAAAATTGCCGGTCGAAATCACATTCTTCCACCGTTGGGGATTGAAAATACATTAATTATGCAAAGTTAGTCAATCCAAAAGCAACGCGAGCCTGCTGCATGAAGCAACCTGCAAGATATTTGTTTCCTAAAAGTGGTAAAACGTTTTTGATTACGAATCTTCTCTGTTCAGGGTTACTTTGAACCATGTTTTATGAACGTTCTTATCGAGTTATTGTCTCACTAAGACGAAGATTGACGAGTTGAGCTCATTTTAGATAATTTAACATTCAATTTTAATTCCCTCTTGGGAATTGTCTACGGTTCGTTTTCCATGCAATTCCCAACGGTGGAAGAATGTGATTTCGACCGGCAATTTTTATTTGACGAGTATATGTGGCCATTTCTCATCGTTACGATTTAAAAAAGGTATCGTAGAGAAGCTAAATAACTCTTTCGTCCTATGTAAAAATTGAATTGTTTAGCTAAGTTTATGATGCACGACAGCCTGTTGAATTTCCGTAGCGTTTTTTTTAGACACCTTAAGGGTATAATAATTATTGGCTTGGATTTGGCAAAGATGTTGGATTGGGTTTGGCATTGTTTAAAATTTTCATCCAACGTTGTTGTGGCGTCGTTTAAGCACCAGCTGTGTTGGGTAATATTGGCTTGGGTTTGGCAAAGATGTTGGATTGGGTTTGGTATATTGTTTAAAATTTTCATCCAACGTTGTTGGCCTCGTTTGAACACTGTGTTGTGTAAAATTGGCTTGGGTTTGGCGAAGATGTTGGATTGGGTTTGGCTTTAAAATTTTCATCCAACGTTGTTAGCCTCGTTTGAGCACTGTGTTGGGTAGTATTGGCTTGGGTTTGGCAAAGATGTTGGATTGGGTTTGGTGTCATTTAAAATTTTCATCATAAACATTGTTGGCCTCGTTTGAGCACTGACACTTCATGTGTTGCATGGTAATATGTTGTTGTCGGGGCTTCGGTGACCAAGTGGTTAGCGCACTTGCCTTTCACCTCTGAGGCCGCAGGTTCAAGCCTCAGTGAGAACTTCCTCAATGCGACTCGAACCCAGTCCTCATGTGAAAACAGTAAAAGTCGGCGCTCTGCCGAAAGTCGTGGGTTTTCCCCGGGTACTCCGGTTTCCTCCCACAGGGAAAGTTGACAGGGTGGGTTAGGTAAAAGGGCCCACAGTAATTGGCATATGCTGTTGTGGTGACCCTGCCTTAGTTGGCAAAGCTAAATAAATAAGTAATATGGGCTTGGTTTTGGCGTTGTTTAAAATTTTCATCCAACGTTGTTGGCCTCGTTTGAGCACTGTGTTGGGTAATATTGGCTTGGGTTTAGCAAAGATGTTGGATTGGGTTTGGCATTGTTTAAAATTTTCATCCAACGTTGTTGGCCTCGTTTCGTTTGCAGCACTGTGTTGGGTAATATTGGCTTGGGTTTGGCAAATATGTTGAATTGGGTTTGGTTTGGTTTAAAATTTTCGTCCATGCATCGTTAATTGTTGGCCTCGTTTGAGCACTGACACTGCATGTGTTGTATGCATGGTAATATTGGCTTAGGTTTGGCAAAGATGTTGGATTGGGTTTGGTGTCATTTAAAATTTTCGTCAAAAACATTGTTGGTCTCGTTTGAACACTGACACTTCATGTGTTATATGCATGGTATTATTGGCTTAGCTTTGGCAAAGATGTTGTATCATGGTTTGGCATTGTTTAAAATTTTCATCATAAACATTGTTGGCCTCGTTTGAACACTGACACTTCATGTGTTATATGCATGGTAATATTGGCTTAGGTTTGGCAAAGATGTTGGATTGGGTTCGGCATTGTTTAAAATTTTCATCATAAACATTGTTGGCCTCGTTTGAACACTGACACTTCATGTGTTATATGCATGGTAATATTGGCTTAGGTTTGGCAAAGATGTTGGATTGGGTTCGGCATTGTTTAAAATTTTCATCATAAACATTGTTGGCCTCGTTTGAACACTGACACTTCATGTGTTATATGCATGGTAATATTGGCTTAGGTTTGGCAAAGATGTTGGATTGGGTTCGGCATTGTTTAAAATTTTCATCATAAACATTGTTGGCCTCGTTTGAACACTGACACTTCATGTGTTATATGCATGGTAATATTGGCTTAGGTTTGGCAAAGATGTTGGATTGGGTTCGGCATTGTTTAAAATTTTCATCATAAACATTGTTGGCCTCGTTTGAACACTGACACTTCATGTGTTATATGCATGGTAATATTGGCTTAGGTTTGGCAAAGATGTTGGATTGGGTTCGGCATTGTTTAAAATTTTCATCATAAACATTGTTGGCCTCGTTTGAACACTGACACTTCATGTGTTATATGCATGGTAATATTGGCTTAGGTTTGGCAAAGATGTTG